CCCTTCTCAACAGGACCTCCACCAGCCGCGGCAGTAGATAAGTTCATCCATCTCTTCTTCTCCGGTGAGTTCCAAAAAATTGCAAAGGTGTCGTTAATACGACGGCTCTGTGAATGGCTTACTTATGTAGAAATAGGTGGGCTGGGCCTGGAGTTAATAAAAGAAATAGAAATCTTATCTACTACTGCGGCTGGTAGATGCGAGGTGTGATTTCCTCTATTAACTTGACCCTGAAAGCCACTTGTTGGTCCTCAACAAAAACATACTCTGGCATCACTTTTCCAGCGGAGACATAGAGGAGGATTCTCTGTCCACTCGCCGAGACGTCCGCCTCGACACCTCGAAATCCACCACATAAGTTCCCAATTGCTTCAAATAACTTGTTGCACCATAGATGGAGGGGCAAACCAAACAATATCACCCTTCGTATTACTCGATCTTTTACTGCAAAACAGCCAACCACGAAGTATCAAATGTCGATGGATAATAAGGCGTCGCCCCATCTCTTCCTTCCTTCATCCAAAACCCTTTAGGCCTCAATCTCCGATGGAAACCTGAAAAGGAGTAAGTAGTCGGGTAAGGGAGAAACTTTCACCCCACTTTTTGACGCCCACACCTCAATCCCTTCAATACACCCCACATCGCTGTCAAAGCGACCTACCAGACATGATCGCAAGGCAGATTCTCGCTCCTTGATGCTTTGATGATCAACCCTAAAAACCAAATCATTGCCTATAGAGCAACTTTTGATTTCTCCGTGGAGGTTGAGACGTGGTAAGGTCGCGACACTGAGATAAGATCGATGCATATCATGATTCATTACCAAAAAGTCGAAGATAATGTTGTTCGTTCTCCTTTTAAGTGGTCGACAGGAGGTAGGTGGACTTCAGATATGGAGTCCTTCTCAGAGTTCATTGATGAGTTTAGGTTGATTGATCTGCCTTTGGAGGGAGGGCCTTTTACTTAGTCTAGTGGCCATTCTCCCCCTACTCTCTGTCGGCTTGACAGGTTCCTTGTGTCCGGGGAGTGGGAGGAGATGTTTTCTGATGTTGTGCAGGTTACTTTGGCTCGTCCTATCTCTGATCATGTTCCATTGATGTTGGATTGTGGTGGGTTGCGAAGTAGGCGTTCTCCTTTTAGATTTGAAAATATGTGGCTTCGGGCTGAGGGTTTTCTAGAAAAGGTCCGACTCTAGTGGGAGAGGTTCGGGGTGGTTGGCACCCCGGTCATTCGCTTGCAGGTAATTTGCGTCTCTTGAAGGAAAGTATTAAGATTTGGAACAAAGAGGTATTCGGGAATCTTGTGTGGAGGAATTCGGGAATCTTGCGATCGTGGAGGAGATCTCGTGGAGACAAAAGTCTAGAGCTTTGTGGCTTAAGGAGGGGGACAGTAACACGAAATTTTTTCATAGATTGGCCAGTGCCAATAAAAGGGGCAACCATATTGGGAGGATTCGGGTGGAGGGGGAGCTTTTTTGTGAGGAGGAGGAGGTCTGCAAAGGCATTTCAGAGTTCTATGAGAAGTTGTTCACTGAGTCTGTTGGGTGGAGACCTTTGCTTGAAGGGCTTCAGTTTGCCTCTGAGGAGCCTTTTTCTGAAGAGGAAGTTTTGATTGCTTTGAAGAGCTGTAATGGGTATAAAGCCCCAGGTCCAGATGGTTTTACCATGAGATTCCTTTTGGAGTGCTGGGAGGTGGTTAGAGGGGAGGTGGGGGGTACTTTTCATGCTTTCCATGCTCAGGGCTCTTTTAAGAAGAGCTTGAATGCCACTTTCATTGTTCTCATTCCGAAGAAAGGGACGGCGGAAGGGGGGGGGGGGGTGGGCGGCGCGATGGATATTAGGGCTTTTCGCCCTATTAGTTTGGTGGGGTGTATCTACAAGTTGATTGTCAAGGTCCTTGCTTCAAGGTTAAGAAAAGTCCCGGATGGCGTCATTTCTGACTCTCAGAATGCTTTTGTGAGAGGTCGTCAAATTTTGGACTCAGTTCTTATTGCTAGTGAGTGTGTGGATTCCCGATTGCGTAGTGGGGTCCCGGGAGTTCTGTGTAAGCTTGACTTGGAGAAGGCGTACGACCACGTGCGTTAGAGCTTCCTTCTTTACCTGATGGAGAGGATAGGGTTTGGTGATCCGTCGAGGAGATGGATTCTTTTTTGTATTTCCAGTGCACGCTTTTCGATTCTTGTGAATGGAGCTCCTACGGGTTTTTTCTCTAACTCGGGGGGTTTGAGACAAGGGGATTCGCTCTCCCCTTTCTCGTTCCTGTTTGTGATGGAGGCCCTTAGCAGACTGATGAGCAGGTCAGTTGAGTTGGGGTTTTTGAGAGGTTTTCGGGGGAGTAGGGATGCTACTCCCCAGTTAGAGGTCTCCCATTTGATGTTTGCCAATGACACTTTAGTTCTTTGTGATGCGAATGTGTCCCAGCTTAGATATTTGAGGTGTGTTCTAATCGGGTTCCAAGTTGTCAATGTTGGAAAGAGCGTTTTGGTGTCGATGGGAGAGGTCCCTGAGATTGAGTCCTTTGCTGATATTTTTGGTTGTCGTACTGGCTCTTTTCCCATCTCTTACTTAGGACTGCCTCTGGGGGCTCCTTCGAGATGTGGGGGGGTTTGGGACCCTGTGGTGGATAGGTTTGAGAGGAGGTTGGCAAGTTGGAAGAAGCGGTATCTCTCCAAGGGAGGTCGGGTCACTCTGATGAAGAACACCCTCTCTTGCCTTACCACTAATTTTATCTCTCTGTTCCAGATTCCCTCTTCAGTTGCTGAGAGGATTAAGAGATTGCAGCGAAATATTCTATGGGGGGCGGGGGCGGGGGGGAAGAGGTGAAGAGTTCAAGTTTCATCTAGTTCGTTGGGATCAGGTTTGCAGGCCGATTCGGTATGGAGGTTTGGGTCTTAGAAGACTGGTGCCTTTCAATAAGGCTCTCCTTGGGAAATGGTTATGGAGGTTTGGAGTGGAAAGGCATTGGCTTTAGAGGAGGGTCGTTTTGGGGAGTCTAGAAGAGGGTGGTGTTCTCTGGAGGTGCGTGGTCCTCGGGGTGTGGGGGTTTGGAAGGTCATTCGAAAGGGATGGGATGACTTTGCCAAACACGTTCGTTTTCGAATCAAGGATGGTAGGAGGATCAGTTTTTGGGAGGATGTTTGGTGTGGGGATTCTCCTCTCGCTCTCACTTTTCCTTAACTTTTCAGGATTGCTACGGATAGGCAGGCCATGGTGGTTAACTGTTATCATCTTGATAGCGGGAGACTGGCTTGGGATGTTCGATTCAAGCAATTGTTTCAGGATTGCGAGATGGAGGAGGCCATTCATTTTTTGGAGTTGTTGTATCGCCAGAGGATTGTGGTTAGGGATTCAAATAGTTGGGCATGGGCAGCCAACTCTCAGGGGCGTTTCGAGATTAGGTCCTTTTTCAAATGTCTCACAAATGAACCAAGAATTCGCTCCCCTTGGAAGGCGGTTTGGCGCTCTAAGGCTCCTCTCAAGGTGGGCTTCTTTGCTTGGACCTCTGTTCTGGGAAGGATTTAACCCAGGATAACTTAAGGAGGAGAAATCAGGTGGTGGTCAATCGTTGCTATATGTGCCTTCGGGATGAGGAAACTATGGACCACCTTCTCCTCCATTGCACCATGGCAGAGACTGCTGGGATTTCATGTTTGGCTTGTTTAGGTTTCTTTGGGTTATGCCTGGATCCGTTAGAGGGATGATTGAGGCTTGCAGAGGTTGCCTTATGGGGGCTCACATTCGGGATGCTTGGAGTGCTACGCCTCTAGGTGTGGTGGTGTATTTGGCTCGAGAGGAATAGGAGATATTTTGATAGGAAGGAGATGTCAATTTCTACTCTTAAATTCTCTATTCTTTCCACTCTTTTTTGTTGGGTTTCAGAGAGAAATCATAGATCTTTAGAGGAAATTGTCGATTTTTTTGGCCTCTTTGAAGGCTTAGAGGTCCTTTATGGCCTTGTGTATTTCTCTTGGGATTCGCTCCCCTTTTGAGCGCTTTTATAAAATTTTACTTATCAAAAAAAAAAAATATTATTATTTCATTTCCTTTTTTTTTCGCTTTTGCCAACTTCTCAATCAATTATATTGATGCATTTTTCCGCATGCTCATTTCCAAGACAAGTTGATCCAAAGATCCAAGACAAGTAGAGTATAGACTATAGAGTAGGGTATGATAAATCTGCTTTGATACCATGTCAAAATTGAAGAGAGAAATAGAAAATGAAGAACACGAGGATATACATGGTTCAGCCATTAGGGCTTATATCCACGGCACACAAAACCAAAGGGCTACATATCCTTATTATACTCTCCTGATTTTTGTATAGAGTGATCAACTCTATTCATAGGTGAAATGAGAAAGACCTGTAGCTAGAGAATAGAAAATACTTGCTCTACAAGTATTCTTGCTTTACAAGTGTTTTATAATAAAGGAATTACACGGAAAGTCAAATACAAATGTGGCAACAAGTCTCGTAGCAATATTCTTTTAAGGAGTAATTTAAGTAAGGGTTCCTATAATAATATTCTCCAACATAGTTCAATAATGGCAAGCTTATATTATTGCATCTTATACACAATGATAATGGAGAAAGCAACTTGAAGGTTTTGAAGCTCACAAGTCAATCTTCTTAGCGAAGGAAGTTACTTCCAGAAATGATGGGAAGAGCAAATGATTCCAAACAAATCACAAATTGATAGCCCAAAATCATTTTTTGACGTTGGTCCCTCGCCAACACTATTTATGGCATTAGTCACCTAGTTGCATGGCTACTTATCACCTGCTCCTCCCATGGCAGACCAGCAACAGCTAGCCCAAGTGGGTGATACTTTCATTAAAATTGGTAAACTTTGAGCAACAAAAACACAAAAGACAGAAACAATGAATTTAATCCATAGTATTGATGCAGCATATGGATCAGCTTACAAAAACTTCTACACGAAAAGAAACCGCTGCTAAACTAGCCTTGCCAGAAAGTAGGTCAGGTGAACAGGAATAAATTACCTGGCTGTGATAAGGGAAGAATCACCAGCAGATATATGGCCTGCACTAGAGATATCCCATAACCCTGGCCATGAATCCTTGCAGTCAGCACGTCGTTGGAGAAGTAGTTCTTGCGTACTCTCTGAATAAATCCACACATGAACAGCTCGATGGTAATCCCCATCTCTGTGAATGTCCCCCCTATATGAGTTGCAAAAGATTTAATGCAAATAAAATATCAGAAAAAGGTGTGACAATCCATGTTAGTTTCTTAACATGATGAAAGATTAATACAAATATTTTGAAGCAAAAAAATAAAATAAAATAAAATAAATAAAATGAAGTGGAGCAACAATGGAGGTCATCTACAGATCTTGGCCATCAATAGAATCGATTATCACAACTATGTAAATGAGAAAAAAGGTATAGCAAGTTATTTTTTAATAAGATATAGAAAGCCGGCTAGATAAGGGTTTTAAAAAATGTGAAATTACTATAAAGAACGATAAATAGACAGGAATAAAATGTTTCAACCATCATGTAGTACATAAATTCAACAACCACCATCAAGCCTTTTTCCCAACTACTTAAGGTCGGCTACAAGAATCCTATGTTTCTATTCCGCTCTATCAAAGGTCATAGATTCAGTCAAACCACATGTTATCGTATCGTTCTTTACTATGCCCACATTAACTTTGGTATTCCTCTTCCCCTATTATTACCCTCAATGTGGACTATGTCGCTCTTCCTTACTGGTACATTTAAAGGTCTTCTTTGCACATGTCCAAACCATCTTAACCAATTTGCTATCATTTTATCTCCAATTTGTGCTACTCCAACCATCTCCTAAATGTGATCATTTCTAATTCTATTCTTTCTAGTCTTACAACAAATCCATCTTAACATTCACATTTCTGCCACACTCACTTTATGCATATGTTGTTTCCTAGTTGCCTACCAATTTGTGCCATTAAGTATGGCTGGTGTAATAGCGGTTCAATAGAACTTCCCTTTCAAACTTAAGGGGATATGTTTATCACACAATATAATACAAAAATTACATGCAATAAATCTATATGTAGTGAGAGAGAGAGAGATTCGGTGTACAATTTTTCCTTTCAACCATCATGTAGTACATAAAGTACGTATATAAATATATATATATATATATATATAAAGATATCGAGAGAGAGAGAGAGACCCGAGGTAAAAAAAAAATTCAACTTACAATATTCATTTGGAAAACAGACGATGAGTCCGTGGATCACATTCTTATGCATTGTCCTGTGGCGTATGATTGTTGGAATCTTATTTTCAGTATTTTTGGCGTTCAGTGGGTGATGCCTAAGCATTCCATTCAATTAATTAACGCATGGAGAAGATGCCCAGTTAAAGGTCATGCCCGTGATTTTTGGAGGATTGTGCCACTCTGTTTGGTGGTGTATATGGAGAGAGAAATAACATAAATTTTGAAGGAAAGGAATCGTCTCTAGCAAAGTTAAAATCTCATATTCTTCATTCTCTTTTTTGTTATGTAAGAGGAAGCGCTTGCTCCTCGATTGATGATTTGATTGATCTATTGGACTCTGTTGGTCCTTAGGTTTTTTGCTTTTGTGTATTAGGGATGCGTTCCCCTTTTGAACGCTTTTCTAATATATTTTACTTATCAAAAAAAAATGTTCATTTGGATTTAGAAACAACTAATAATATACAGACCAGATCAAACAAGTAAGAGAAATTAACTAGCAATTAAAATGCTCATAAATTCATGTGGTTCTGTCATTCTGAAATAAAAGAAATATTATTGACTAGAACTCTGCACTTTGGCACTAGAGGAGGCTGACACCAGAATAACTACAAAATACTAATCGCGCTGCATTATCATCTAGCTCGGAGACCACCGGCCCTTGGGTTTAATGTGGTAATGATAGTTACCCCTATAGACATGGCTGGAGTTTTGAACCCCTCCCTCCTCCCTCTTCCCCTCCCCTTTTCCCCCCATGCTAAGATATAGCAAAGTGCTTAAAGAATCCAAAAAGAACCTGGCGCCGAGCATTAAGTAACATGATATCACCTCTGCCAAATGGTTTAATTTATAGTGTATCTGCTATTGGTTTGATACTCTCTAGATATTCTCAGACATAATCCTTCCAAAGTAGTGGCCATGCTAATAGCTAGTTTTCTGTTTGTTTTTTTTAGCAACAGTCAAAAGAGATGGTGTTTCAACAAACTGATACAACAATACATGGGATGACACACCTTATCCTCCTTCATGATATTCTAGCACGAGTCAACGCTTTAGGTTGTTGGCAAGAAAGACATAATTGGTTCAGAGTGGGCAAAGATGTATCTCATCAGATGGAGATTTCCTATTTGCTGTTTGCGGATGATACCTTGGTTTTTTGTGAAGCCGATGTCTCCCAACTTAGATATTTGAGGTGTATTCTTGTTTGTTTCCAGGCGGTTTCTGGGCTAAAGATCAATGTTGGAAAGAGTGTGCTTGTCCCAGTTGGGGATGTTCCGGATATTTCCTCCTTAGCTGCAATTCTTGGGTGTGGGGTGGGTGCTTTTCCTCTTTCTTATTTGGGATTGCCTTTGGGGGTTTCCTCTAGGAGGGTGGGGAGTTGGGATCCGGTAATTAATAGGTTTGAGAAGAGGTTAGCAGGTTGGAAGAAGCAATATATGTCGAAGGGGGGGAAGGTCACTCTTATTAAGAGTACTCTCTCGTCCCTTCCTACTTATTTTTTATCTTTGTTTCAAATCCCATGCTCTGTCGCTGAAAGGATTGAAAAAATTCAAAGGGACTTTCTATGGGTGGAAGGGGAGAGGAGTTCAAGTATCATCTTGTTAAATGGGAGCAAGTTTGCAAACCTTTGAAGTTAGGCGGTTTAGGTATCCGAAAGTTGGTTCCTTTTAATAGAGCTCTATTGGGAAAGTGGTTATGGAGATTCGGTAGGGAACGACATCGCCAGTGGAGACGGATTGTTTCGTGTCGTTTTAAGGAGGAGAGTGGTGGCTGGTCCTCCCGTCCAATCTCTGTTGCGGGAGGCGTCGGCATGTGGAAATTCATTCAGAAGGGTTGGGATGTCTTCTCCTCACATATCATATTCAAAGTTCGTGATGGTAGGCGTGTCCGCTTTTGGGAGGATTTATGGTGTGAAGATTAGTTGTTTTCTTATTCCTTTCCTAGACTTTATAGTATTGCCGAAGATAGGCACGCCTGCATAGCTAACTGTTATTAGCTTGATAGCAGTGGGGTTACATGGGATGTGCACTTTAGGCGTTCTTTTCAAGATTGGGAGATGGACGAGGTATGTGTCTTTCTGGATTTGTTGTATCAGCAGAAGGATGTTGGCAGAGGCAGTGATGACATTTTGTGGTTCCTTCCTCCCATGGTAGATTTGGTGTTCAGTCCATGTTCTTTTGTCTTTCCAACTTCGTTGGTCCTTATTTCCCATGGAATACTATATGGTACTCTAAGGCTCCACTTAGAGTAGCATTCTTTGTTTGGACTGCCGTCTGGGGCAAGATTTTGACGTTGGACAATTTGAGAAAGAAAGGCAACACTATCATTAATTGGTGTTGTCTAAGCAAAAGAGACGGTGAGTCTATGGATCACATTCTTATGCACTGTCCTGTGGCGTATGATTGTTGGAACCTTATCTTCGGCATATTTGGCATACATTAGGTAATGCCTCAGTCTTCCATAGGACTGATTAACGCGTGGAGAAGATGCCTAGTGAGAAATCACGCTCTCGATTATTGAAGGATAGTTCCACACTGTGTTTGGTGGTGTATATGGAGAGAAAGGAATAGCATAAATTTCGAGGAAAGGAATCGTCTTTGGCGACTTTGAAAATTCATATTCTTCGTTCTATTTTCTATTATGTGAAAGGAAGTGCTTGCTCCTCGACCATTAACTTAGTTGATCTTTTGGACTATATTAGTCCTTAGGTTCAGCCTTCGTTTTTATATTAGGGACGCGTTCCCCTTTTGAACGCTTTTCTAATCGATTTTTACTTATCAAAAAAAAAAGAAAGACATAACAAAAAAGAAGGATTTTGTATTGTTGAAACACTAAAATGACTTGCAAGTGGAAATCAATCCCCATTTGACAATCATGTGAAAAACAAATCTGAAAAGGTGACCTACTGACCTGTAAAAGTTATGGGGAAATTATTCCATACCCATTCTACTTGAAAGTTGAAACAATAGGGAGACCATTGAGTAATGACCTTCTTTAGATGCAAGCCATCTATCGAGGCTGCTTAATTTTAAGTTAATTCATTAACTAATAGGTCATACATTTTTATACTTTTTTTCTCAGAAAGACGTGGTGTTGCATTGTTGGTTTAGACCAAGTTAATTTTAAGAAAAAATGATTGAATAACTTCTAGTACTTAGTTCGATGGAAAGGTTAACGGTTCACCTCCTAGAGAAGTAGAGGATGTCACTGGTCCTGCAGGAAATCTGTGGTTTAAAGGCAAGTTTTCTGCCTACTTCATACTCGAGACTTCCTTTGGACTCAACTCTAAAGGCAAAAATGATGTGAGATTCTTTGGTTGAGAAGTTTTGAAAAGCTTTTAGCAGGATGGAAAAGACGGTACCTCTGTAAAAACTAACCAAAATCCACTATTTAAAAATAGAGTACAACCTAGGTTTACAGACTCTATTTCAAGAATCCTTAGTTACCTCCTGAAACAAAAAAACTTCAAACTTTTCCCAGAAAGTCTCCAGGCAATCCTTCACTCCTGCTCATCAACAGCATCCTGTCACACACCACTTAATTGTGTAGGGAGATACGCCATGAAGGCCAAACACAAGCGCTGAGGAGGCATCTGCATGGTATGAGGAGAGTGAAGTTCTAGATTCTTCCAGAGTTCAGTAAAGGATTGTGGAGTATTATAGAGGGATTTGGAAGAATCTAGAGTATGTGTAGATATGTATTAGTGTATAGAAGATTCTAGAAGTGTAGGAAGTTTTGTAAGCATTGTAGATATTTGTGTAGAGAATTCTAGAAAGTAGTGAGGATGCCTATAAATAGGTGAGGAGGCTCATTTGTAACCAACAAGCTCCAAGTAAGAGTGAAAACTTGAGCGAACCTTGTACAACAACTTGAGTAGTAATAATAGAAGTGCTCTCTCTTGCCAACCAACTGCCTAAGTGTGTGTGAGAGAACAAGCTGAATGGAGGGGCGTGAC